CGTCGTGCTCCGGTGATCGCACCGTCAAGCTCTGGAGCCTCGCGGACTTGTCGTGCCTGAGGACGTTCCAGGGCCACACCGCGTCCGTCCTAAGCGTCGCCTTCGTTAGCGCGGGCGCCCAGGTCGTGTCCGGAGGGGCCGACGGGCTGGTGAAGGTCTGGACCGTGCGCTCCGATGAGTGCGAGGCTACGCTAGACGCGCACACCGACAAGGTCTGGGCGTTGACCACTGCGGCAGCGCCGGCGGTGAGGAGACATCGGGATGAGGAAGAGGAGGTGGAAGGCGGAGGAGAGGGGCCGAACGCGGGGATAGTGGTTGTTAGCGGCGGCGCGGACTCGGTGATTAACGTCTGGAAGGACGTGACGGCTCGAGAAGAGGTGAGGGAGTTGTCGGTGTGCGTTGATGATGCGAACGTGTTTTCTGTTCTTTTTTTTTCGTGCGCAAGCTATTGTGATGTGACGGTCCTTGGGTGTCCTTGTGGTTTTTGTTTGGCTCTTGATGAGAATCTCTTTCCGGTTGTTTGTGTTTTCCTGGTTCCTCCTAACCAACCTGGTTCTTCCGCCGCCGCCGCCCCTTGGCTTCTTTACGAAAATGCCATCTCGGGGTTTCCAGGAGAAAGTGATCGCGGAGAGGGAGAACGCCCTACTCAAGGAGCAGGAGCTGTACAACCGGCTGAGGAACAAAGAGTATGGGCCCGCCATCGCACTAGCGCTCGAGCTCAAGCGCCCGCAGAAGCTGTGGGGCGTTCTGAGGGACGCCATGACGGAGGGGATGGGAGAAGGGGGACAAGGTGCCCCGGCGGGCGGCGATGAGGGTGAGTGTATCACAACAGAAGAGATGGTTCCCAACCAACGTGCGATGGTGCTGACGAATCGATAGTGGACGTTGTTTAGATCGGTGGCGGAGGGCTCACAAACGGTTACAGCAGGGCTATTCTTTTTGGGTGCTCTTCCTCAACCGTCCGTACAACTATGCTCGTGTGCAGCAGCGCTTTTATGTTTGCGCTCCCACCCACGTTGCCATCGATAGTGTCATGGATGCCCTGAGGACTCTGTCGCTTTCTCTCCTCCTTCGTGGGATATATTCTGCTTCGGCGATGTAGGCACCTTTTGTTGCATGCTATCTTTATTTTAGTTGACAAGATATTCCAATACCCGCGGTGCTTTTAATGTTGTCAGAAACGACGACGGAGATGGCATCTCGCCGTTTGGACGAGCACGTGTCCTCCTGGACCATGGACACCATCAGCCAGTGCCTGGGGTACTGCCGCGATTGGAACACGAACGCGAGGAAGGCGGTGGTCGTGCACGCCCTCGTGGGGAGCATCCTCCGCTGCGTCAGCATCGGTTCTCTCAAGGAGCTGCCGGTGAGCAGTGCCTCTGGACCAATGTTTTAGTGTGTACATGCTGTGTCGCGAGACTGCAAGCTTGCGAAGTTGCTTGTCTGGCTAATTCCAAAGGTGTGTCAACTGAAACGTTGGCGTTCACAAATGGTGAACAAAGCGCCAGGCTAATGTTGTACTTCTACAAACACCATGCTGGAATAATTTTCTCGCTCCCTGTACTGCTATAGACCTATAGACGGATTTCCTACGGGCTGAGAGCTCACGAGATCGCAGGAAAGGCAATCCTGATGATCTCGTGAGCCTAGAGCCCTTTTTTCGAGATTTCTCCGCCCGTTGACCTCGCCTCGAAGCGAGACTTGCACTTGCCGATAGCCCTGTGTTGCGAGGGCCTTCCCGGCGTGCCGCGCGCTCTCGGGGCGGACTGCGTGCAGCGCTAGCGAGGGCAGAAAGTCGCGTCTCCGACATGTACCATGGATCCACCAATCACACCCCGATTTCTTGACAGTGCAGGCCACTCATACATACATTCGGCAAGCGGCTGACGTGGATTGTGCGTGTGCGCTGGCTACACACCACACACCCTGCCACACACGACAACCAAGCCACCAAGTCTCCGCATGAGACGAGACAAAGTACTCTACTGCTGTAGTGCGTCTCCCTTTTGATCCAGGCGAAAGGCGGGGGGGTGAGCGGCCAGTGTCGTGCGTACAGCTGTCTGCAAAACTACCCCCGCCCGAGAAAAAAAAAATTGAAATACGTTGTTTGTTCCTCCGTTTCATGGAAATACTTTTTTTTTTTCCCGGAAATATCTTCTGGATACCTACCGCACTTATTGTAGAGCGGCTACCGGGACATGCTCCGCATCCCACCAACACACACCAACACACGAACTTCTACACTCATCTGACTCCCAAAACCCTCTAGCAGAAGATATAGAAATACTACTGCTGCTGCTGTGGGTTTCCATATTTTCATAAATCGGCAGAAAAAGTTGTCTGCTTTTCTTTGCTTTTGCTTACACACAACGTGCTGCAAACACTAAAAAAACTACCGTATGCATACGTAATGATTTGCGCTGCTTTTCCTCGCCTCCCGTACGCAACCCCGATTCTCATCACCGACGGCTGTACATCAGATCACATACGAAGACCGCACACCCGAGAAGTAGCGAACTTTATTTAGCTACAACGTCTCGCTGAGGGGGTGGGTAGCACATGGGAGAGAGGGGGGGAAGAGAGAGAAAAGCTGGTTGCTTGATGTTTATTTCTTAGTTTAATTATTCGACACACTCCCCCCCCGAGTAACCCCTCTCGTGTCATGAATAGTAGAGCATTTTAGGGGTCGCTCCTCTGTTTTCTTATTGAGACGTTTCTTCTATGGTGTGGCCCAGGTTGAGCTATTATGTTACGTAACCCTATTTTCCTACTTTTTTCGTGGAAAGTGAGCCTTTGTTTCTGAAAAACAAACTTCTTACTCCGAGCAATTAAATACTCTGTCCTCCGGCCATCGCGTAACATATGAATATAGTAATTGTGCGTCTCTGCTATTCGAACAAACAAACAAAATTTTCTCTCATTTCAAAACTCCACCCGCACACACTTGCCATCGCCATTGAACCTACGAGCGTAGCGGCGACCGCGAAGCGCCCTTGTACTCTGCTACATATTTCCACACGTACGTGCATCGCCAGGATTGTAATTTGCAGCCCTCTCGACCACCCCTTCGCCCCCCCTCCGCAAATCCCACCCGCAGGGATGTGCGGAGTTGGTACGCGTGTTGCTTCCCTACTCGGAGCGGCACTTCCAACGCCTGGACCGCCTGCTGCAGTCGTCGTATCTCGTAGAGCACACGCTGGCCTCCATGCAGATGCTTGTGGCCGAAGGCGGTCCTACGGGTGACAGCAACAAGGCAGCGGCGAGGACACAAACTAACCGTCCCTTGGTGCGAGAGTTGAAACGCCTTCGGGATGGCAAACCCCGACAAGAAGAGGAGGGAGAGAGTGTAGATGGCGGAGTGGAGAGTGATAGTGAGGGGGGGGACAGGGTTGCAAGCCCGGTGCCTGTGTCCGAAGTTGTCGATGGGCGGGTTGTTTTTAACGTTAGGGTAGAGAACGGTGGGGCGGGAGACTCGGACAGCGAGGAGGAGGATAGCGATGTGCAGGAAAGTGACGTTGTCATGGGTGACGCGTCGAAGAGAGATCCAATTGTAGTAGAGGGCGGAGGTGGGGAGGGGTCGGCGAAAAAGCCGAAGAAGAAGCGCAAAAAGAAGTCTTCGTCCGGTGCTCCTGCCCCGACGGCTCTCGGACTGGTGGGGCAGCCGGTCGTCGAAGCCGTGGTACCGGCGGCGGGGGCAGAAGAGGTACCAAGTGCCAGTGGTGACAAGAAGGCTCGGAAGAAGAGAAGAAGGAGCGCTGGTGACGCTAAGAACGTCGCCGGTGCAAGTCCAGCGCTCGTCAAGGTGCAGAAGCAGCCGGTGGGGGCTGTCGTACCCGAGGAGGGGGGGGCGGTAGCTGAGACGGGCGAGGACGGGGGGGGGTCCGGCAAGAAAAAAAAGAAAAAGAGGTCGGGCAAGGGCAGGCGCAAGTCGACGACAACGTAGCCTTGTATCTTGCGTCTTTTGTCTGCTCTGCCATCCTTTTGATGTTGTGAGGGTGATCGTGATAGGTTGGGATAAGGAAGGCGGGACCACGAATTGAAAGTTGGAGTATTGAGTGGTTTTCTTCAAGTTTTGAGTGCCGTGAGCATTGCTGTCGCGTGAAGCTTGTGCCCTTCGTGTTTTGTGTTCGGGCGAAACGTACGATGGTGACACGGGCATCACCCGTTCCTTGTTTCAGAATGCACGTTCGCCATCACAGCAAAAGTCTCCTCGCCCGTTCGAGACAGTGCCCGCATCGAAGGGATGAGTTGAAGTCTTGTCTTGACATCGAAAGGCGAGCTATTTTGCAAAAGGTGTAGGTCTATTTAGTAATTTTGGTGGGGAGTTCTTGTTCTGCCGGCATCAACTCGAGCCTGCAAGGGCAGGGTGGCAGGCAAGCAGCCTAACTCGTTGCATGCAGCCTTCAGCTTTGTATCTAAGCATATTACCGTTTCTATTTTGTTCCCTTTTTACGGAACGCGCTACTGCGACTTACTTGATGGTTTCGTCACAAGACCTGGTCCCTCCATACTACCATGTACTCCGTGGGGTATGTATCCCAACAGCGCTTGATATATACTCCACGACAAGAGGGGCAAGGCGAAGACCATTGTGGTCGCCCACGACCTCCTGGTGTGTCGGCGTCGTGTTGGTACCGAATCCGAGGAAAGAAGAGCTATGCCCCACCACCGTATGCCCGCCCAAAAAATAGACACAGCTTCTCTCACTGAAGGCTTCTTCTGGATACACTCGACAGGAACGAGGCATGAATACAACACCACGAACAGAGGACCAAACACCTGCAAAATAAGGAAAAACCTTTCTAACAGCGAAAAATCACGCAAAGAGAGCGAACGCACAAGCAGGAGAGAGCGCTTAGGATGAAGCCCTCCCCGCTCGGAGATGGCTATCCGAGGGTTGCAGTTGGAAAGAGGAAACGCATACGCGCATCCAAGTCTCCAGCGATGCTGATATGACTTCTGGTCTAATATCTAGACTAAAACAACTGAGATGCACACTCTGTACGGCAGCAGACACACGAACAGGGCACACATCGCGGTCGCGGCAGTTTTCTGCCGCTTCTGTTTCGGTATCGTGCTCCTAGTGGGAGAAGGCAACTTGAAGCAGGCTACCCTCGAACAAGCCACACCACTAAAACTACCAATTCACAGGAGGAAATCTGACGTGTCGAATAAAATGACGGAACTCTATCATCGGGAGGTTCATCGGCCTAACGAAACCAACAAACACAGTGAGGACCAAAAAGGACAAATCAACTCGCCCCAAACGAAGCCCGTGTATTCTACGAACCTAACACCGACATACGAAGAAATACTTCACACGGCTGGGCTACATCTGAACGAGGATAGGTGTACATGGCGTAATCAAACAACCTGGGCGCGCACCTTGGACGAGCCAAGAACTTAGTCGCCACGAAAGTTGGAACTGCACGTACTGTAGTGGTAAAACCGCCTCTCAACACACACCCGGTACATACTCATCCTCAGTATCCCGTCACGATAATTTAGGGAGCAACGCGCAAAAGACCCGTGAGGCAACGCGTTTGATTTATCCCGGACGCCCACTCAAGAATTCCACTGCCGCGCCTCGTGTCTATCAACGAAAAACACGGGCCAAATCGGCGCTGTTGCGGGTATCGCAAATACGCGGCAGATACGTCTATAATAGTCGTAAACAACTACGAACACGGCACGTTGGAACAGCCACAGCTACAAATAGCTCCTCATCCGCCCGAGAGGAAGCCCACCCCAAACTACAATCACGACGGATGTGCACAAATTACAAGGACGATATATAATACTATTGCGGAAGCAAACTCCTCAGGGAAAAAAACAGTAGTTTTTACGATCTGTTCCTGACTCTTCCTATCTAAGGCTTCCACGCCCTGTAATTGGTCGAGCGCTCTTTTACTCTCCAGCGCTCTCGCTCTCTCTGTTCGCTTTCCGAGAACGCGGCTGGGCGCAGCTGCCTTGTCGCCGAGCCCAGTTTTCGGCCACCAGGCCCTCGGTTGCCGTGGGTTGGGTCGGCCATGGGTATGTGACACGCCCCGTGTGCGGAGCTACGGTTCAACATCCGGTCAGACCTAAAGAGTCACTAAATACCAGAGCGCAACTAGACCTCGAAGAAGGTCAAGCCTGCCCACAAAAAACTGCCGAGCACGCCGCCCGGGGCACCTCAGTCTCCGCCGTACAACGACAAGACACCTCCACCACTTTGACGCTGGGCTGCCCCCTGCCTGCCTTTTCATCGACGACGCAGGCCAATCAGCAGCACCACCGCGGCCACCGCCACGACGCTGCCCCACCTCCACCTCGGGTCGTCCAAGAGCCCCCCCCCGCACCCGCCGTCATCTCCCAACAAGAACTTGCCGACAAGGCCATTGCCCTTGCCACCACCGTACGAGAGGTCGGGGTCTGACCTACTGGTCTCCGCGGAATCGGAGGACGCCGCGTCCGTTAGCTGCTTACCCCCCCGGGTGCCGTCTCCACCCTCCTCACCTCCAGGCGCCTTGTCTTCCTGTCCAGTTGCTCCCGACAACGCCACCTCAGGCTTCGAACCATTGACGGCGTCAGCGTCCGCGGCCGTTGCCTCTGCTACCGTGCACCCATCGGAGGGCGTACCTTGGCGATCGGCGGTGGCGGCGACAGCAGTAGCTGTCTCCGTTAACCCCGCCACAGCCGGCTCTTCGGGTTTCTCGCAGCAGGCCGTGCTGATGTCGGCCGCGGTGCAGTTGGCCGTGGCCATCACCTCGTCGGGCGCTACGCCGGCGCAATCCTCTAGCACAAGTGCTGCATCCGGCACGACATTGCGAGGACCCTCGTCTTCTGAGGTGCTCGGCGCGGAGGGTGCATCATCCAAAGCAGGTGCTGGCGTAGCCTCATCGCTCTCCACCCCGTCTGGCTGCGCTTCGTCATCTCCTACAACTTCCACGCTATCGCTCTTGACATCCTCGGTCGCCAACACTTCAACTGGTGTTGACTCATCGGAGACGGTTGCGGGGTCACCCTGGGCGGAGTCAGGTGGTGCAGGCGTTGATCCATCTTCCCGCTCTTGTTCGTCTCCAGGAACCGATGAACTACCATCAGCCGGCGGAGAAACGGCTGCTGTTTGCTCATCGGATGTGATTGCAGGCGCAGAACTAGGAAGCGGTGCAGGCGTCGATCCATCCTCCCGCCCCTCGTCGTCTCCAGGAGGCGTGTTCGACCCGGGGCAATGCTCTTGCTCTACACCCTCTGCCGCCGTCGCTGCCGCGGATGGTGACTCGCCCTTCAATTCGCCGACTTCCGCCGGTTGTTGGTCCTTCTCGCTCTCGTTCTCGACCGTTTTCGCCAGAAACGACGGCGGGTGCCACTCCGCAGCGTCAGCCGAAAGGCGGGGTGACGGTGCGCTTGGGCCTGAAGCCGCGTCGTAGTAGGTGCCCACGCCGAACATGGGGGGCAGTGCACAAGGGATATGGCAGCAGCAAGGCGTGATGAGCTTGGTCTCCCGGGCCCTTCAGTTCACATGCGCTGGCAGGGCCTCGAGGTGAAACCCCAGCGAAGTCAGCGTTGTTGCGGGATTTCAGTACAAGGATCTACACGGTAGTTCAACGTAGAATATGGGGGGAGCTGCAGCTCCCAGGGTTGGACATGCGGGCATGATTCTTACAACGGGTCTTCCCTAGAGGCTATATAACACGGGATTACCAAAAACGTTTCTTGTAGTTGGCCTACTCAACTCTCTACCATGTAGTCAAAAAGATAAAGTTCACAATGTGGCATTTTCAAAAAGTGTTGAGGCCCTCTACAAAAGAGGATTTGAAAAGAAAAAAAACTCTGGCATGTAGAGGGAAAACGTAAGCTAATACAGGGGGCGACAAGAAAAAACACTCTTAAACGGGGCTCTTTGGTAAACCCTCTAGAAGCTCGTGTGGGTTGGGCGCATGAATTACTTTGTGGCAGAAAAATGCTGTGCATGGTTGAAACACAGGATTGGGTTAGCTATGCATATATGCATATACGTACAAGCGTTCACACCATGACGGCACTTGTTTGTTATGGTATAGCGCCTCGATTTGCTGAGACCATTGAACGATCAACGCCGCGCGGCCATTACCCTTGTTTCTTGTCTCTTCGTGGGTTCGCATATCTCTTCCCGCGGCCATACGTGCTTGGTCCAGCGTGACCTCGGGTCCAGCGAGCCGGAGCATGTATCTCGTATGTCGAACAGGTAGTCTTTCTGTGTGTGTATCTATTTTTCGTAATATGATAAGAGGTGCGACCCTTTGTGTTTCATAAACCTGGGAATCCGGGGTCTTCTGCGGTGCTTTCTTACTTATCCGGACACACACGTACCAAAGACAACAAGGAATGTGTAGGTAAAACACAACAACGACGCAGCTGGGCAAGTACTCTGTTGATCCGCGTGAAACCCGCGTAGCTGATTGGTCGACACCCACTCTCACCCTGCCGTATCACAAAATGCCCCAAGAATATTGCTGTGCGCTGCCGGAATTACTTTTCTCTGGTGTGCATCCCGTCTGACGTTCGGCTCTTTGTGTTGCAGCTGTCGATCTGATAAAAATCAAATAGTCTTCATCGACGTGTACAGCAGTTGCAACCACGGACAAGTCAAGTAGCACAGCTGTTGACCCTTCGATCGCCCCTCCTCGGTTTCTCTGCGGCCACATCCACCCATCACTCTTCTGGAACGTGGCAAGCTGGGCGCACGCTCTGTTTCGGTCGGCCTTTCAACGATGCTGCTTTCAATCAACCTATGGAGGGGTGAGTGTGTCTAGGATTTCGGTTTCCAACTTTTGTTGGGAGCAGGAAGATTTCAAGATTCGAGGGCTTTTGGTGCGAGCGGGAAGTGCTTCCTGCGGAGAAATTCGGCGACGAAAAGGTCCCATGTGCATCCCGTCACGTCAAAGTAGATTTCCGAAAAACTCAGGGTACAATTCCACAATTCCAGAGAAAAGACGGCCACGTTGTACGCGACACACGCGGCCGTAAGTTGTAGAACTGGGTGACGCAGTTCCCGTCTGAACAACAATACGACTTCCTCATGTTTTTTTTTTAATCCCAGGGAATCAGGGAAGGAGGTGCCGCTAGGCGACGGAGCGGAGATTCACAACAACAGGCACGGCGGCACGGCCGACGCCGTGCGCCGTGCAACACGACGAATGTCACAAAACTATGTATCGTGCAGCAGTTTCAGCCCGAACCCTGTACTCCCACCTCCCACCCGCGCTTCACGTTGCACCACAATTCAGAATGCTGCGGGACCACGAGACCAATGGAGATCATCGTGGAGGCTTCCCTATTGCCGGCGGCGTGCAAGGGGCATAAGCGCGCTGCTTGTACGCTCACGCAAGTTTTGGACCGAATCCGTCTATCTTCCTCTATACATCCACCACCGCATCATTCGACTCGAGCCTTCAATCCGTTAAGTCTCTGCGGTACACTTGGTCTTGTCTCCAAAATTTGCGCCGATTGATCCCACGGTGGGAGCTACAATAAGTAGTTCTCCGCACGGGTGCAGGGTTACGCCGCACGTATGCATCCGCTTGAGACCATGTCTATTGCTGGACCACATATTGACATTTGCGGACTGTGCGCTGATGATCAGCCTCACAGCGCGTTTGTTGCTGTTGTTGTTGTCTTGACACCAAAATCAACAACTTACAGCACGTGGAGTTTGTTAATCTCAATCTTGGTGCCCCTAGATGAACATTGGAGTGATCTATAAACTGTTGTGCTGGGTCAGAATTGTGCGGTAGCACGCCCGAGGCGATCTTATATCTGAGGTCTGAGTTACGTATGCATATGCACATCCGCGTTCGTAGTGTTCCCGCATTTTTGTTGCCCTCTGGGAGGCCGCGCGCATTATTGTGTTTTGGAGAGACCCGAGAGCGAGCAGAACGATGTACAAAGAAATACCAGTGTGAGAGAACACGATGTGCGGTTGGCAAGCGATGTATCTCTTTGTTATGGCCTAAGTGCACACGCTTCTTCTGCTCTGAAATCTAGCGGAGTACGGGGTTGGTCAGGAGGGTTGTGGTCGAGCTCACTTACTTGCTGTGTGCTCTGAACGGCAACGACGCATGTTGTTGCACTTGCGACATGTTTCCGCTCCCCTCTGGAAAACGACACGCAAACAGGGCAGCACCGACAACACCATGAGACCCACCGGGCTTCGTCGAGGCGTTGCGCTCCGACAACCGTTTCTTTCCCTTGTTCTTCTTGCCCATGGTCGTCACGTACGACCTTGTGGAATCTTTCCCGTGCAGACGGTTGTATTGAGTGGTTGAGTGGTTGAACAGGTGTCAAATGCTCTGTGGACGACAGAACCAGATGTATGTTCCCAGGGTGTTGCAGAGAGTCTCCGGCAGTGGAACAGCGAAGGCGTAGTGCAGCCGTTGTGTTTCTCGGCCTTGTCTCCGCTCTCTCCCTCTCAATTCCTCGTGGGATAGCAAGCAGTGATTGGATTACGTGTGTTGCCGCCCACCCACACCCCGACCCCCGATCATCCGATGAACGATGGGGGCACATGGATGGATAAGTTGGGGTATATTCGGAATCACAAACTCCAGTCAGAGACCCCCTTTACCGGCCGTGCATTTGGGCCGTGCAAGCGCGCCGTGCGTTTTGGTTTGCTCTACAACAGACAAAGGCTGGCGTGCCGAGAGGGCGAGGACGAGCGGTCGCTAGGGAGTAGGGATGACAGAGCTGAGAAGGTCATCCAGAGGTGAGCTGTCGGCGTCGAATCATTGCTTTTATACCCATCTCTCTTGCCGTGTGTTGGGCGACCATTGTTGACTACAGCAGCAGTGACCCTACCGCTTTCGAAGAGGCCAGACCGATGTTCTTCGGCAGTACGTATGGCAGCAGTCCATGGCTAACGGTCTTTGCCAAAATTACGAGTCCGCCCTGTGCTGCCTGTTGCTCGCTGCCAGTCTTGTCCAGCACAGGAAGCCTTCCCCTTACTGCCGTTGCACATCACAGCATACACCACACTCGTTTTAAACGGTTATTTCTATTCGGAGGCCGGAAAGTCGACCCGTAAAAACTCCAAAAACGAAGAGACCATCGCACACTGGCCGTCGCAAGCCTATGATTTGCGCGCGCACCACATCCGCTGCCTCGGCTGCTGTCGCGCATAAAACAAGGCGCACACCACTACGTTGGCCTCTTACGTGAACGACTACTACAGCGTTGCGCGGAAAGTCATATGGCGAGTTCCGCTATATACGAATCGGACGATCGTTTTGTGCCAGTGTCCGGAGGTTCGAAAAAGTAGCGATTGCACTCTGGAAGAAGTATAATTTCGTCCCTGAGATTCGATCGATGCCACTTTCGCGGGACCGCTCGGCTCCCGGCTAAGAAACGGCGTAATGTTTCCTGTTGCAGTTCGATTCTTGGGTGTGATTGTGAAGTAAGTTATGTTCCATCCTCGTCGTCGAAAAGATCACGGAACAATGCTGTGAATATGTGTGTGTGTGCAGTTTGCCAATTTCATCGAGATGGTACATACCCATAGGCAGCAGTGATGGGACCAAATAGGTATCACTTGTGCCTGCCGTGGTAAATCCAGTTCATGTGTGGACGAGGAGGATAGTATTCATATTTGTGCGTGACCGGTCGCTGTTGTTTCTCTCCGTTGGTTTTTGTGGTCGTCTGTCATCACTAGCGTTTACGATTTATTGGGTTTTGCTCGGTCCGTTTTTCATATTCGATTCTTGTTGATATGCATATGCATACAATATGCAGCTAGGTATTATATCCATCCAACTTTACAAATACTGCTGACTTGAAGAAATTTCCTCTTATGAACACCAGCCTCGAGCGCCAATGCCGGCACATCCTCCTAGGACGTACATGCCGCCGACCTGGCGCCTATCGTGTGGGTTTGGGATTAGCGTTAGGGTTTCTAGCGCCTGCCGAAGCAGATAATCCTACAATATATTTAGTGCCGCGGTCGAAGGGGCCACACGGCGCTATAGACTAGTACGCAAATTTTACCCTTTTTGTTCCGACATGGGGTGTTCTGGTCCTGTGAAGGGTATGGGTGTGTGGCTTATGTGCACACTCTTGTGTGGTTGGCCTGTGGCCACGGAAGGCGTCGGTCAGGGTGGACCGGTATGGATATTAGAAGGTACACTGCTGTACTGAGCGGAGACGGAAACGGTTTTTATTAATGTCAAGACAAGACAAACAAGGACCAGCCAGTGGTCGGTATCCCGTAGGAACCGTTGGGGGATAAGTATTTAGAGAAGGTACTGGCGTGTAGATGTAGTACTCGAAAGCAGTGTGCGAAAAGGAAGTACACTAGTGTATTGGTTATACCAGAAGTACTGCTGCAAGATGCTAGCCTAGTTGGCAGGTTGGGTTGGCGAGAGGATGTCGCCATTAGGGCGAGATGAGAGAAAAACTAGGGTACAACCGTGGACGCACGTGCTGTGTCGGGAACATTAACATTTACCAGTAACACGTTGCTGTATTTGGCCGCTTACAAGCGTGCGGCGAGAGGGAACCCGAGGGAAACCGTGTGAACACCAGAATCTTGTTTGCCGTGTCGATAGTAGTAGTGCAGTAGTTGTGGGGGTCCCTTTTCAAGAACGCGCTGTGGGTTGTTTTAGCCCCCGGGTGTTCCGTGAGGAGGGGGAGCAAGACACACAAGCTACTTTCTTCGACACAGACACGATATTTGGTTGGTTAACAAAATTTCGATGAAACACTCAATCCTTCAAAGCTTGGTGAGTCCGGAGGAATCCAATCCCCTTCCCGTACTTCTGTAGGCCAAGACTGCACCATTGCGCGAGTCCCACGAATTTCCTCTCCCTGCTGTTTTTGTAACTGCAGTTCGCCAGTCAGCAAAGCACGCCTCCACATACTACATTCCCGATGAGAAGAACAGTCTTTTCTCCACTCCGGGGGTCCGACCGAGGGGGTGGCGGACGGTGAGTGCAGCAGTATAAGCAGCAGTAGGAGGTGTTGTTGTTGTTGTTGTTGACTTTTTCTGATTGTAGGAACAGCAGCAGTACGAGCGTGTTGTTGTTATTCTTGTTGCTAGTGCTGTTGTTGTCTTCTTTAGGGGCGTGTGTCGCTGCTGCGCGGCGGTTTACCGGCTTGGTCCGTTGTCGACCTCCTTCGCCTGACGACGTTTGTATGATCATACCCACGTGACGTGTACACGCACAAGATGGCACTTTCGAGAAATGCATGTCTGTCGCAGAAGAACCACTCTCACCCCCGCATGCACGCCTACTCCCGCTGCTGCTCCGATGCCACGTTTGTCTACCTGAAACAGGCAGATGTTGCGGCAGGTTACTTTACGGTGAAGCGATGGATGCCCAGGGATCAGCAGCACCTGACGGCTGGGCTACACGGCGGCCTGACGGACCCAGCCGAGATTGCTGCCGCCAAGGTTTGGACTGCGGTAATATTACACGAAGAAAATCGTCTGAGAGAGAGCGAGACCAGAAGGAATAGCACTGCTGTGCTGTAATCGAAGGCGGGCGCGCGCACACGGCTTCGCGCTGCGCCTCCATTTTCGAGCAGGCAGTAGCGGACCTTGCTCTGTGGCGCGTTTAGCCCGATTTTTTTGTTCAGCATCGACAATGCTAGTTCAGTGGAAATGCGTCAGTCTTTACGCGGGGCGAATATTGTAAGAATGGTAGATGTGTTGGTGTTTTATGCGAACGATCCACAAGTGTAGTGATTGCTACGCACGCCCACCCCCCCACCCCCACGGTATCTCACGCTTGTCTTAGTCTTAATGATCTCTCTCTTCCCCCCCCCCCTCTCTCCCCTCTCTGTCTGTCTGGCTGTCTGGCTGGCTGTCTGGCTGTCTGTCGGTCTGGCTGGTTCTCTCTCCGGGCGATCGCTCGATCGCATCGGGTGCGCCCCAGCAATCGCTTCGAGCAAACAGCAAGGCCTCCACCAGGTTCAAATCGAGAAACAGGATGGGCAGCGGGGCACGGCTGTCTACGCTGAGACGGTCGTCTGGTAGCGTTCAAGACAACAGCAACTTCGGTGGTGCTGCGGGGGGGGGGTCGTCTTGGGGTGCCGGGCGGGGAAGCGACGCAGGAACCGGAGGTGGAGGTGGCAGTGCCGCCGGCAGCGGCGTTAGCGGGGTGGATCCATCACCGGCTGCATCCCCTTCCCCCCCGCCCGCTGCTGCGCCGGCCGCTGCACCGAGTGGTGACCGTGAAGCACCGTTCTCAGGGGGGATGCTTGGCGTTGACGACGACAGCAGTAAGGTTGGCGAGAGCGGCGACGGCAGCAAGGGTGCCGGTGAGGGCGGTGAGGGCGGTGAGGGCGGTCGTGGTGAAGATGATGGTGCTGGTGGTGGCCGGAAGCGGCCGGCGGCAGCGATGGAGCCTGGGTCGGAGGATGTGGGGGAGCCGCCCCTGCAGTCGAGAAGGTATGCAGGGGATCGCGAGATCGCCGTAGGCGTAACCTTTGACGCGGGGAAACTGTTGTCATGTACAACCTCTCAGTCCAGTCCTGCCTCGGTTCCGACGGTGTAGACACGGTACGTACCACCCCAAAGTCGCTCTTCCCATGTGCCGTATTCGTGCATACCCGTGGCTTGCAGTGCGACTCGTTGTGCTGGGGAGTCCTACGCTTTTGCCCAACACTTTTCGGGGTTTACTGTAAATGAAACACACCTGGAAGTGAATGATCACATTTTTTTGCGAAATGTAGCTGTCGGGAGTGCAATCACAGTTCGGGGTTTCGGAGCAAGGGTGCCCCGGGAGATAACACTATGCCATGCATGGGATGTCCTAGCATCAGTCACTCTTTCTTCGGTCGTGAGAAAAAGAAATTCACGCCAACAGTCTTGACCGGTGTAGGATAGAGATTCCTACCCTCCTAGAGCGTTGCACGAATGTTTGCACACACACACGACCGTTGTATAAAATCCCCTCCTGCTGATAGACGATGCCCAACAGCTGTACTGCATGAAGTGTGTAAAAGATACCCAAGTATTCAACCGTTGCAAGTTTCCTTATGTCTGTTTTTTTTAGAAGAGAGGCAGGAAGTTGCTGCTCCGCGCTCCGCCTAGGGTGATACTCGCATACACACGTGGTCGTAGATCCAACAGAAGATGAGCAATCCTCCCAACCCTCCGCGCGCCAACATCGGCAGGATTTCTCCCGGAGAGAAGCCGTCGCAATCGCAACCAAAGGGCGATGGCGGCCAGGAGGAAACCGCACCATCCTCCGGTGTTAGCCCATCGCAATCGACCACTCCCGATTGTCCTCCTCCAGCTCGGGAGGGTGAGAGTGAGGGGGACGATAACGGCAAGGGCAAAGGTGGTAGCAGCCAGGACGTGTCACGCTCGTCTTCGCTATCGCAAGCACCGGAGCAGCGGAAGGAGGTGGAGTCGGCAGAGATCGTTGCTGTCGGGGCGAAGCAGAGCGTGGGGGCGGGCGGGGCCGCGGGCGATTCAGCGACCGTTGTCGGGGATGGTGACGGGGGTAGGTGCAGCGCAGGGGCCGACACGGGGGCAAAGACGGCCGTGGTGCAGCAGTCATGGGGGGTGTGTGATAGATAGGACATTGCCGTTCTTGTGGAATGATAGGAGTGTTAAAGCGAGGCTGGTCTGTTGCCTTTTAAGAACGAGGCAAATGGGCTTTTTGCTACCCTAGCCTCCGTTGTCGCTTCTTGGGGCGGCGGCGGTGGCTGCGATTAGCTTCCGGTGTTGCTTGCTTGCAGGAGCGTATTGTCCTGTTTTTGTGCATACATTGGTGTCTCGTTTGCATTATTTTATCCCATGCGTGTTGGTTGCAGGCTTGCGTGTGAGTACTTTTTTGGTGAATATACACAGGAGGAATACCAGTAGGCGGATCCGAAAGCGTTTAAATATTTTTATTCTTCTGTTTGGTGAAATGTTTCTCTGCGTGCATCGTGTTTCTCTTTGAGAAGAGAGACCACGATAGGCGGTGGGCAGAAGGGGTCCGTTTACGATGTTTTGAAACGCTTGTACTGCTTGGTTTGTTGGTTCTTGGGGTCCTCTCTCATTCCGATGCGTTGTAGACAGTCGGAGGATGTAGTCAGTCTGCACAGCAGTTGCACATATACGCGCGTTTAGTTTGTGCTTGTGTCTGCCAACCGAGCGCCTGCTGTGTTGTACAGTCCGTTTTATTGTGTCGTTCGAATAGGAAGGTGCGGAAACGGCATCCGCGGTGTTCTTTTTGGCGTATGTGCGAACCCCTGTCGAATGGAAGGTTTTCAGGCTGTTTTGCTTGTCAGCGAGGAGCCTGCCCGTTAGGGGGCGGCGTAGAAGTGCCCTCTCCCAGCGAGATTTTTGTTTGTTCTGTTTCACAATGTCTGGTACACATGCATGTTTTTGATGTTTCTCTTCGGTGTTTTTTTTTTTTTGTGGGGGTTGATTCGAGTGCCTAGGTGAAGGTACAAGACAGCGAATCTAGTGCGTGTTTCCCTTGATGTTCAGACAAAGGATCAGCAGTAGAGCGAACAGTCAATAGCGTAGGACTTTGGCGAGCGCTCTCTCTCTATGTCGGCTTTGTTTCTACATTTGTTTTACAACGACCATCCAGTGCTTGCAGTTCGTTTGGTTGAGGTCGCGATTGTTCGGTTTCTCGGAGCCTTGGTTTGCGCCGGGAAACTTGTTCGAACGGTACCTTGCGTGCCCCGCATGAGGCACGAAAGGTGTTGTTTCTTGCGAGACAAGGTGTGTATGGTTGTATGCTGTCGTTCCGGATACATGCAATACATGGGTGGTCGTGTGGGACCCAGTCTGTGCCGGGACCCTGTCAGGATTTTGTTTCTGTAGCCTTTTCCCTTCTGATGGTAACCGCGACGAGAGAGACGCTGTAACGCTTTGTAGAGTGCTATGGTAATTAGCGATACTGTCTGCTGTCGCACGGCGGTGGTTTGCCGTCTCTCTGCGGAGATATGTACTAGCTGTTGTACTGTTTTCTTGAATCGTCGCAGTAATGTGCCGGTTTTTTTTTGCGCGTACGACGTTTATTTCTGTTTGGAGGCTACTGGGCGCTGGAGTTCCTAGTAGCGAGATGAAAAATGCACCAATCACTCATGAAAAGCAAGAAGCGTTGTGATTGGCCGGTGTGTGGCATCAGCTACGGAAAAGGAAGGGAGGAACTTGGTTTATTTTTATTATTTCCCCGTTTTTGTTGTGCGATTTCGCGCACAAAATAGGTTGACAAAGTAATAGGGTTGACCGGCATTCGCCTGGCCGCGTTTGTTTAGCGTCCAGAACAAGCTCAGCTCGAAATTCTCTTGGCTACAAGCGTCTCTTTTGTTCTTGGAAGTATGCTACCGTATGCATTACATTAAAGAATGACTATAATATGATAAACCGGAGGGACTACGTTGAAGTCTACACTACCCTTGGAGTGAAACATATCGAGACAAAGTACTAATGAACACGACACGCGCTTCCTTCCCCCCGATTTAATTTCTCTGTTCCCTCTAGGGGATGAACCTCCTTTCACACAGTTCTGCAATGCACGTGTGTAATTGTGTACAACACTTGAGTTGTGTGGCTGTCCTCAAGAGCGGTCAAGCAACGGAAATAATTGGCTATGTCCTACAGCAGTAAGTAGCCTAGAATGGTGCGTCTTGTGTCTCTGACAAGCACGTAAGAACACAAAGACTGCCCGTTCGAGATATTACCAAAGTCGAAGGGGGTGTGTTGAAGTCCTTACAATAATAATAATAGTGAGTGAAGTGAGGGTAGAATAAGAAGCTGTCTGTAGTGGTTTAAATTTATTTGTATGTGCACGCGCACGCGGAAGTTGCTGTTCGGTGTTCCTTCGCATTCAAAGTGCAGTAGTTAATCCTTTGTCCAGCACCTCTCCCCTCTCTCTCATCAACACGAAATCACGCATATATATCGTTCTCAATTGTACATACATACATGTGGCGGACACGGTGTTGTTTTTATTTTTCTTAATATGACACAACGAATCCATCTCTATCAAAGAAAAGAGTCAGAGACAGATTAGCAATGAATTCATAGCGTCAGAAAAAGCTACCTGTCTGTATGTCTACGATTTCTTCCCAGACAGCATATATATTAGGGACCTCTCCCCTGCGGGTAACAGGCCGTTGTTGTATTTTTCTTTCGTGAAAGTACTCGAAGTATTCACATTTTCTAGGTAAACGCCTAGTCTAGTGTTTGATATATATACAGAGAGAGGCGGCCCGCACTTAACCCTTACGTGACTACACCCCCGAATCGGGCATGTTAGCAGGCACGATAACTCTTATATGCGACAACTTTCGAACCGAATTGAGCTGTGGATACCTGCGTCGACGACGGCTCGACGGTACGACTAGACCGCTCGAAAAGAAACAAAGTAACGACCGGGGACAGAAACAGCACGTCCCCTATACAGAAAATTGAAAGCCTGGGAGTTGCAATGCTCCGCAGCACCCTGCATCCCGCGCTGCTGCTGTGCTGCTGTGGACCTCAGTCCAGCACGCAGAAACGCGATAATGATGCTGTTTTTCCTCCTGCTTGTTGCGATTTTTCGCACGAGCGCTATGGACGGGGTTCCTGTGTATCACGTTCGCAAGGAACAGGAGCTAGCTCCCCAGCCGGCTGCGTTGGGCCAACGGGTACAGCAGCACATCGATGGATCTGCGTCGCGCATCATTTGCAGCACAGAATTGACAAGAGGTGGGAGGGTTATGGTCTTGCCCGACCGCGCTGGTGTGTATACCGTAAAGCCGGATGGCCACTGCGGGTTTAGTGCGATGTCCGCGGGTCTGCAGGTTTGCCTCGGTAGAACAAGGGCCGCCCCCACCCCAGAGAACATGAGGAGCGTGGTCGCCCGTCGAGCCACGGAACATGTTCTTGGCGCATCCGGTGTTGAGGACTTGACAGCTGTACTCTCACCAGACCAGCTTGGGCGGGCCCGGAGTGTGCGTATACCGGATGTTTTAGGAGCTGCCGTGGAAGAAATGACGGCGCCGGAGGATAAGACGGTCGGTTGGTTTCGCGAGAAAGCCCAGCTAAGTGCAACAACAAAATGGATTGACGTGACCTGGTTCTCTTTTCTGGCGTCGGAGTACGGGGTGAACATCATGTTGTGGGAGCCAAGCCCCACGTACGGCACAGTTCAGCCGTACTCAGCAGCCCTCACGGCAGGCATGTTCTTGTTCGAGAAAAAAGACAAAATGGACGAGGAGGGGGATCGCTGGGTGCATCTGCTCTATCGGAAACACGACGATCCGTGGGCAGCGCGCGAGGGTGTAGGTGAGGCAGGCCATAAACAGCACAACCACTTCGACCGTCTGCAGCTTGGACTCAACGTACATACTTCCTTCATCGATGTCGTCAGAGTTGCAAAGGAGAAAGCGCTAGGAATGGCGGCGCCGGTGCCGTCGGCGAGCGCCACGGCCGGGAAGAAAGCGCCAGGGTCCGCAAAGGTGGACGGAGAAGAGGTGGACGATCCCGAGTTCAGCATGAGACCAAGCGGCAGCAACAGCAACAACAGCAGCAGCAGCAGCCGGCAAGCGGAGGGAAAGGCTGCAGCGGGAAAGAAAAGCAAGGCGAAGATCGGGAGTAAGGTCGGGGTGAAGCGACCAACCGAGAGGCAGCCAGGGGACAGCAAGAGGCACAAGGCGGGGGGTGCACCGGGGAAGCAGCGCAAGGCGGTTGGTGTGCCGGGGAAGCGCAAGGCGGGGGGTGCACCAGGGGAGGGGAGGGGTGCCGCAAAGAAATGCAAGAGTACGCCGACGGGTAGGAGGAAATCGGTGAAGAGCAACGGCCAAGTAGACGAAGCCAACTATGATTCCGACGGCAGCATCGGGGGGGGGGACCACGAAGCGAACCCAGGGCTCCTTCGCTAGCATGTCGCAGAACGAGAAGAAGGTGGTGGCCGCCATGAAGAAGATCCAGGAGCTCAAGTACAGGCGGGCGTACTTGCTGAGCAACAAGAGGAGGGCGCGGGGTCTAAAGGTGGGTTTGTGTTCGTGTAGACTTTTCTCTTGGCATTTTCCAGGCGAATAGGCGGACCTAAGAGAAGACGACGATTTATGGTGGTGCAAAAGTTGAGTCCGATAAATAGTGCGAATCAATACTGCTGTAGCAGTTTCTTGCGTTTTTTTTTTTCGCTTGGAATACCGAGTAGAGAGTGCCCTATCAACGCTGAACAAACGCGTGTCTAGGTAGGCACTTTGTTTCGCCTCGTGTGGTCGCTAGTCTCTACCAAAAATAATCTTAGAAGTGTTGGTAAAAAGCACCTGGTTGCTTGCATGATCATGTTGACGCCTCCGTGCCTGGCTCCTGTTGCTCAACACGGGTGTGGTTTCCAATGTTGGCAGGGGGGCAACGAATGTCGAGTTCACGATTCGGAGTATGTAAATGCATGTGCGTGACCTGAACACCCTACTGGCCCTGTATGGTGTTACTTTTGATCGCCGTGTCAGTTTCATGTGAATCTCTCGCTCGCTCGATTCGTAGGTGTTAGTGACACCGTCGCCTCGTACGACTTTATTTTTTTTCGGATGATTGAACACAACACGGCAGGGTATGAATTGACACACCTGCCGCTCTGTTTC